CATAAATAACTTTCCAAGTGTAGGTCCAGAATATTGGTTCAATTGTTTACAATAGTTATTAATTTGTGAGGTAATCAATAATGAATCAAGTCTTGATGGTTCAGGTGGAAGTTTGAATATCTTGAGAATATCATCTTCTGGAAGCAATTCTTGTTCCATGGCAAGGCGATGTGCATTTTCTTGTCTCTGTAGGTTAGGAAGTACACCTGTTAATTATCATTTAATTAGAATTCAAAAAATTTTAAAAATGTTAGCATACCCTCTTTTGAAGTGCAGCCTGCATTTTAGTTTGTTCTCTAGCAACAGTTCTCTGCCAAAATGCAAAGTTACTTTGCTCCTGAGTGTGCTCATCAACAGCTTCCAACAAGAATTCCAAATTTTTTTCAATGTATGGATCAAGGCTCAATTCCAATGTATCAAAATTGGGGCTTAAAGGACTAGATACTTTTTCTTTGTCCAACGAAATTCCTTTTGGAACAACTTCCTCAAAATCATCCAATGAATGTAGTAATGCGGTCACTAGATGGGAATTCTTGATCTTGATCGGGAACTCTTCGAATATTTTGGAAAATGTAAGTTTGTTCTTCACGAGTGATTCGGTACTGAATTTACCCTCTCTTTGCGTTTCCATAAACGCTTGGGTAAACCTAAAGGCACGTAGTGACAGGTTACCATGTGTTGATCGAGAAACATCTAGGACATAATGTTATTTGTTAATTGAACGTTTATGAAGCAAAAAAAATACAGCGATTATTAAAGAGGCTGGTTACCGTGTATAATTACCACACTTTTATTATTAAAAGTTTGTTGATAATTAAATTGAGTCTCGACTAACTTGTGAGTTACAAACGAACCCAAATATGTTGATTGGTACCATCCAACTGTATTGTGATCAATGTTGACATCACGAAGACAACGCATCATTTCAACTTGATATCTGGCGCCTAAAAATTTTCGATACGCACATAGTAAGTATTTCTCACCATTTCAGGTTAGCATATCAATTATTTTGACACTACTAAAATTTATTTGTCATTTGATCCAAAAAAAAAAAAAATACAGACCGTCGGCAATTTCTACTTCATCGTCAGGCTTCGTGGTTCCGGGAAACGGAAAACAATTGGTCACCTCTAATACACCATTCACGTCAAAGCCAAGAAGTTGACCAGTAACAGGATTAGGGAAGAATTCACGACAATGTTTAATTATCTTGAGCACTACCTATAAAGGTCCATCGGGTTAGTGAAAATCGTTTTCTTTCAATGTTCCAAAGTCAAGAAACTTACCAATCCGTCGAGCTGAACACTTTCTAACGGTACATTGCCTTCAACGTCAAGAGCTGCAGTTACATTCACATTTGAAAGGGCAGCATCTTTGGAGGTACCATTTGTCGCCATTCTGACTTAATAGGTCGACAGTGCAATGATTAAAAAATTTTTTCTTCATCGATATTACGTAATTTTTTTTT